CTAACATTGATCTCAGCCCAGGAATGTCCAAATGACATGACATTTTCAGGATATGTTGAGGGTGTTGTAGAATATTTATGGTGAAGTTTTTAGCTCGATATCATGATGTTTACCGAAAAAACCAGCCAAACAAAGCTGAAAAAATAGAGAATTTGTGTTCCCGAAATTTTCAGTTCAGGTCCATATCATGAATTTAATTTTTTTATTTATTTAAAAGAGCATGTCAGGGTGCAGAGGATGACAGAGCTCTTTTCTTTGAACACTTACTTTTTAAGGAAAAAAAAGGGACTGAAAGTTCAATGACTCGAAAAACCCTAAAAATGGGTGTCGAGGGATATAAATCTCTGTATATATAACTGAAAAAAGCTTAATTCAAAAAGAGGACACTGTCGGCCTCTGCGCCTTGTCACGCTCTATTAAACAAAAAAAACCATAAATACATTGAATGAGTATTAACAGAGAAATTTGGGAAACGAGCTCGAGAAACTATAAACGGAGAAAAAACGAAAAAGACTTTTTGCTTTTTTTTTAAAATAGCTTATTTTTCGAATAGGGGCGACCAAAATCTTCAATTTTGTTTTCGGAAAAAAAGAGGTATTGAGGAAAAATTTATATCGTTTATGAAAGATCTAAAGGTGAGCTATCTTATCCTGCATTTATCTCAATTTTGATCATTCTGACGAAAATTCACTTTTTCTGGATGGGGAGGCGGGGGGGGGGGAGCTTAAAGAAAATACATTAAAATCTGAACGATTAAAACTGTCATGACTCGTAAACAATAACTATGTTCTTCGAGAAATTTTTCAAGATTTTTCTGAAACTTACGTACTATCAACTGTTCCTCAAGCAAAGGAGAAAAGGGGAATTTCTGGAATTGCCAATTCATAAAGAATCCAAAAAAGATTCAGAAAATCCAAGAAAATCCCTAAATCCACCAGCAACGTCCTCTTATAAATGGAAGAATTTCGAGCTAAAATTTTCATTATATGTAGAGCTTTTGGTCCTTAAGATATCCTAAAAATTTCAATACAAACGGATGTTTCATTCTCAAGATAATCAACGTCCAAGAAAAGTGGATTCTCTGACCAAGAAGTGAAATACGAGTATTTCTTGGGATTGCATTATCTTCAGAAGATAATATCCATTGTCGCAGAAACTTCTAGAATATTTTAAGAACCACCAGGCCTACATATGGAAAAAACTTCAGCTCGAAATTTCTGTATTTGCAAGAGGATATTGATGTTGGATTTTGGGATTATCAAAATCCCAAAAATCCCGAAAATCCCAAATCCGCCGTTTCTCCATTGCCCACGCCCATCTGCCCTGTTAAGAGGATCCCTTTTCGAGTTTTCTAGAGAATGGGTCGGTGAAATTTTTTCAAACTCTCAGGGTAGATAGATCTTGATGAGTAGAGTAAAAGTTGTCATAGCCTTAGAATTCGAAAGTGCTTCCTCATCAGAGATATTTGCGAATCAAGGGAGGAAAATGACCTGAAGTTTCCCCTCCATCGCAAACTCTTATACTTCATTGTTTAGAGCTGAATTTTTTTCTGCAGAAACTAGGAGCGAATTGGAGTGTATCTTTTTTTATCTTTGAAAAAGATCGTTCCTGAGGGTCAGAAGAACCAAATTTGGGTGTAGGTGCCGGTGTAGGTGTTGGGGTGGATGTGTGGCTGTGGGTGGGTATGGCTGTAGATGTGGGTGTGGGGTGTGGGTGTTAGTTATCTCTTGGTAGCCATTCAAGCTTGACATCCACACCCACACTGACACCCGCACCCACAGTCACAGCCACAGCCACACACACCCACACCCACAAATCCTATGTTTAGTACTTAGCAACTCTAAAAGAAAATATATCAAGCGACAGACAAACTTAGGTTTTTGCAATTTATCAAAAGAGATCCTATATTTCAAACGCAAACGATAATAATGACATCCTAATCTAACTGGTTTTTTCCTTTTTAGCGTTTCTTCTTTCTTTTTTTTTAGAAAAACTAAACATTTTCTTGTAGAAAATGAGAAAAAATGAAGTCAAGTACAAAATGTTGGAATGAAAGAAATGGTGTGAAATACCAAATGATATCATATTATACTAACTTGTCGGATGTTGATGGGCGGTATTATAGAGAACTTCAGGATCTAAACTGGACGAAGATGGACGATTACTTGATGGAGTATCATCAGAAGCAGCAAGTCCTAAAATACAACAACGTAAGTTCCAAGAAAGAAACTCTAAGATATACTTCTACCTGAGAAGAAATTAGTGAGATCACTAGCATCAATATCTTGAATATGTGTAGTACCACCAGCTTGAGATGAGGAAGCATTTGAGTCTTAAATAAAAAGAAATACTTATATGAAAAAAACAATCTCTTAAGCCCCCCCCCTCCTCCCTCAAAATTCGATCTCAGCTCAGGAACATCGAGATGCCATGAAACTTTGAGGATATGTTGGGAGGATAG